CATGGCCGGCAAGATGGCCAACGTCCTATGGTTCGAGGGCTCTTTTGTGGAGACCCTAAAGGGGTGGCAATCCGGGTGGTTTTACATCACCGAGCCACGCGATCCGAACTGGATCGCAGCCCCCGAGTTCCGATCCGGACCCCCCACGCGGCTTATGTCCTGGAAAGAGACGGGCCTGTCGTGGGGTGACGAAAAAGAGGTGACCGGATTGCAAACATGCATCCAGTCCCTGGTGAACAAGCCAATCCGGCTTGTTAATGTAATCCAAGTTATGCTTGTCCGCCGGATCCTCCCGTGCCAACAACGGGATTTTAATCTATGAGAGTTCGACCCAGCGCAGCACCAAACCCTTAGCAGGCTCTTCGACACGATGTACGAAGATGCCTGGAAGGTGCTATTCAAGGGCACCGAGGCTCCCGCATCCGCTTCCGAGGACCGCGGATACAGCTCACAGCGTCACGCTAGCGAGGTAAGCTATCTTCACCTTTTACAGGATGTTAAGCTTTTTTTCATAGTTTGACTCTATGCAGGATCTAAACTCCCTTACCTTTGACAGGCTTGGCGAGCGATATCCGGACCGATTAACTGTCTGGCTCCGCTGCCCGAAGACCCAGCCCCAGCTCTACTAGTGAAGCTGCTGGTTTCGGCGCCTTATGTGGTGCCGGAGAAGAAGGCCAAGAAGAAGAAGACCATGGGGACTCGAAAGAGTGCCCGTAACGTGGTGGTGTCGGACTCGTCATCCGACGAGTCCGAGACGCCCTCTTCCCGTGAAAACGAGGATGAGGAAGAAGAAAACTCTCCCCCCCAGCGGAGGAAGGAGAGAAGAGGAAGGCCGCCCCAACGGGGGAGGCCGAGGGGTCTAGGAAAAGGAAGACCCCTCCGCCGGACTACTCCCCCGACGCCGAAGATGGCAGAGAGGAGTGGCCAAACAGGGCCAAGCGTCCGGCGAAATCGTAAGTTCGGATATCAGAGTAACTCACGATGTTCCTTTGTTGAACAGCTTTCCCTAATGTCGAACGTAATTATGCAGCCCGCCTCGGGCTGAATTCAACGAATCGTCGGGCGGCTCCCTGGACTCATCGGACGTGAACTCAGTTCCGCCCGCTGTCTCCCCCCGCACTACAGACGACACCGAAGTGGCGTCGCCACAAGCTCCGGGGCAGGAGGAGGTGGTCCCAGAGGAGCCGCAAGGCAACCTCCCGGACTCCAAGAGTGAAGGGGATAAGGCCCCCCAGGGCTCCAAGTCCGGCTTTGTGCCGGACACCGCGCCGGAATCTTCCACAGTTCCGGACCGCGGTAGGCGAACTCCTTCCAAGAGGAGCAAGCCTTCTGAGCCGGCGGCCTCCGTCCAACCGGAGGTGCCGGAGAAATCTGCTGGAGGTGCTCGACGGTGCCTCCATCGACAAGGGGCACTGTACTATTATGAGTACAGTGATCCAGAAGGTTCAGTCCGTCAAGAGCGGACTGACTGAAGCTTGCGCTAGCCTTCTAATAGGCTTCGAGGTAAGTAAAAATATGTAAAAATATTAAAGCATAGACAGTAGCCCCTGATGCTCTATTTGGTGTTCGGAAAGAAAATCCGAATAGAGGATCTATTAAATATCGCAGGAGTCTAACAAAAAAGAGTCAATATGCGTATGCAGGCTTCGCTACTATCCACCGCCGCACTGACTGCGGAGGTGGGTGTGCTGAAGCAGGACCTCGAGCGGACCGAGCAAGAGCTTGGCCTTGCCAAGCGGCGGCTCGAGGAGAAAGAAGGTAAGAAATATCTTACAGAAAAAGTGCCTATAAAAAGGCGTGATTGCAAAAAGATAACAGGATTGTACTGCTTATTGTAGGGGCCACGGCTGAGGTGGCGACTCTTAAGCAGGCGCTGTCTGAGGCCGAAAAGAAAACGGCCGCGGAGCGCACCGAGCGAGACAGACTCTAGGCTCAGGTCGGCGAGGTTCAGCAAGAGCTTCAGGCTCTCATGAAAAAACATGAGAGTTTGGAGCTTGAGTCAAAGGTGCAAGCATCTGAGCTCGCAACGGCCCTTGAGACTGCCAAGTCTGCCAAGGCCGAAGCCCAAAAGTCCCTTCAAGAGCTGGAGGATATGAGGAAGATATCAGCGGGTAAGGCATTCTTTATGCAAAGCAGAAATATAAAAGTAAACTACTTGTTACTTACCCGAATCCGGAGCTCTCCAGGGGCATTCACAGATCTTCCCCGCAGCGTATTCGACGCTGCTGCATTCTACCGAGCTGAAGAGGGCAGCTCGACGGAGAAGGTGTTCTGGTCTCAGTATTCTGAGGCCGGACACCCTGTGCCCTTGAGCAACCAGCTGAAACAGCTGGTTGAGCTCCACAAGGCGGCCGAACAGGCCATGAAAGACTTCATAGTTCGGCTGTGGCCTGGAGAGGCCCTGTCTGGGAGCTATTTCGGGCTGGTGCGGCGGCTGGTGGAGGCCTGTCTGAGGCTTGAGGTCATCAAGCGCTCCGTCTGCATCGAAGGTGCCCGTCGGGCCCTTGCCCGTGCAAAGGTGCACTGGGGTAAGCTGGACGGTGAGAAGCTTGTGAAGGACGGGCCGCCACCAGGGAAGGAGCATCTCAAGCCCGAGAACTACTACAAGGATGTTCTTGCAGGTGCCCGCCTTGTGGCGGATGAATGTACCAAGGATGTGATTTTTGAATGAACTCGCTCGTGTTTATCCTGTGCGCTGAAAACTTGTTCATATGCGCTAAGCAATGCTTATTGAATTTAAAATATTACTTCTTGTGCGGCCGTTTATCAAAAAATTGAGAGATGGCCAGTCGTCGGCTTCTGCCCCCATGCCACTAGTGCTGGGCTGTTCGGGATAAACCTGAGCGCTCTTTTTCCCATAGTTGGGTCCTTCGAGGGAGGCGCTCAGCACAACAAACCAGGCAATCGAACTATAATGCTTGAACACTCTCACTTAGCCATAGAACTCTATAATTTTAAATTTCGGCGAAGCCCCTAGTTCGGAAGACCGAGTTCGGGGCGCTATCCACGCCTTGGCCGGACAAAGCCAGCTCCTCGCTCGAAGCGGCATAAGTCTTTAGGGACTCAAAAAACCTCTCGAACAGCGACCGGTCTCTCGCCTCATCATGACAGTCAGTTTTAGCTTTCTCCACTGAGGTGCTTAACCCAGCTGAACCGGGGCACAATCGCAGTGGTTCTCCTAGTGCTACCTTTGCCGATATAGCGGAACATAAGGCACCAAAACATAGGAGCCGGGCAAACCCAACTATTGACCCAAATCATGATTCGGAGCCGATGCATATAGTGCTATAAGTTCGGGGTGCCGCACTTGTGAAAGTGTACGGACTTCTCACACCATAATGAGGGGTACTGAAGCCCCTGGCGTGTTTGCCGTACCATGGTGTACGGGTGCAATCATGTCATTTAATAAACATATATGCGAAAAGAGGATAATGCGAACATTAGACAAAAAGCTATGCATTGTTTATAGAGAGGCTATTTATCAAAGCCGAACGATACAAATAGTGCGATAAGCAAAAAGATATTGGACTATTTAACATGTCCTGACCAGGGGCAGGCCACGGAATTGTATTCAAAACAGGTATACCGCTCGTAACAGAGACCACCTGGGAGTTCCATAATGCGACATGGCTTGTCTGCCTCCCTGGATCTTGCATCATTTGTGCGGCAGTCGAATTGCTGAACAGGTCGTCCGAAGTATGGAGTCCTGAAAGTAAGAAAAAATTAAAAAAAGAATCCAGCAGCCCCTAGTACGTTTTAAGCCGTATTTTGGGTGTGCCGTTATTGTGCCCCTTCTCCTGTGCCCATGGTATTTCAAGGGCGTAGTTATGTATGCGAGGCACTGGTTTCGCTCTGTCGCGAGAGCTGGGGTTGGGGCCGCATTGCTATGCTTGCTCAAAACGTGCCGGGCGGTCCTACCGTGGGTTACTCCGGGCGCGCTTGGCGGTGTCTGGCTTTTTAACGGCCGGACTGGAGAATTGCCTAAGAAGGCTACTTTGTACTTCCGTTGCGAGAGCCGCCGTGTGCTCCTCCGTATGGAGGGAGCGTTCGGTGTTTCCATTGACCGTGATTACTCCTCGAGGGCCTGGCATCTTGAGCTTGAGATATGCGTAGCAGGGCGTGATAGCCACTGCGAAACGGGACTATATAGAAGATTAACTCTTCACTTTGGAAATTGTCCGGGGATCCGAAGACCACGTCAAGTGTTACTGAGCCTGTATAGTTGGCTTATTTTTTTACATCAGCAGAAACCATATTCACGGTGAAAGGTGTCGTATGGATGCAGTTCGGTACTCCCTCCGGTCCGTTTTATCTGCCGCTATAAAAGAACTGAGATAGTACTCCCTCCAGTTCATTTTGTACAAACTGCGGCTTTAAGGCGAGCGAGTATTTCAAAGCAGGAAGCATGATGTCAATCACATCAGGTGCATGAACAGAGCATTAAGATGACGGTCAGCCATCAAGTACTTCACAGCAGCATGCATAACCGCTATGGCATGAGCTGTTGAAAAGAAGCATTATGATGAAAGTCTAATAATTAGCAACAACAACAACAACAACAACAACAACAACAACAACAACAACAACAACAACAACAACAACAACAACAACAACAACAACAACAACAACAAAAAAGGCAATCATCGCAGCAAGCATAACAATGGTCACATGAGTTGTGGGGGCAGAACAGTAGCATGAAAAAGTCTAAAAGATAGCAAGGATTCTTTTACAGCAGCAGCCATATGCAGGGTCACATGGGCCTAATTGGGTACCAGAGGAAATGCATCAAATTTTCTACAGAGAAGTAGAGTAGTCATGCTAATTAACAATGACGATAGGGTCATCGATTTCACAGCAGAAGCGTATGACAGAGTGATACTAACCATGGCGGCCTAAATAAAGGAGCAACCATTCATCAGCAGCAAGCATAACTGGAAACATGTAGTAAAAGATACTCCATTGAGGAGCAAACATGTTGATAAGCAGAGGAAGACGATTACCACTACATACACATCGTCACGAAGGTTATAGACGATTCCTTCCACCTTGGCTGCCCGGTAATGGCAGCGTGCCTTCACCTCCTCCTCCTCCTCCTCCCCATTTCTGCCCAGACGAACGCGGATGCAGAAATCCCTAAGCATTCAGCACAGTATCCACACACCACACACACGCTCAGAGAATAGACACAAGGGGAGGGGGCGTGAGCTACCTGCGCTGGCGGTGGTAGTGGTGGGGAAACTTGGCCCGAGCTTCGTCGGCGGGGATGGGGTCCCCGACGAACTCGGGGTCGCCATCCTCCTTGGGCGGACGCCCCCTTGTCGTGCGCTCGGTCACGACGAGCGGCGGCTCGGCGGCGGACCTCCGCTTGCGGGCCGGCGCCATTGCGGGTTGTGGAGAGTGGGGGGAAGAGGAGAGCGGCCGGATGGTGGGGGTCGCTGGTGCCAGTGCCGGCGTCTCCATCTCCGGGGCACCAATGTCGGGGATGGATTTTTATTTTATTTTTTGAGCAGTATGTCGGGGATGGATTGGAGCCCGCTCTGCTCAGTGCGAGCCCGTTCGGGTGGAAGCAAGCAAATCCACTCGAGCTGGGCCGGCCCACTACTGCGGGAGGCCATAAGCTCTTTTTCCTTATATTTTTTACGTTTTTTGTTTTCTTTTTCGCTTTTTTACTTTTGTTTATACTTTAAAATATCATATTATACCATTCTTCAAGAATTTGAAAATGTTGAACAAGTATTTTTATTTTTCTGTATACTTTTGTTTACAAAAACACTCTTCAAGAAACATTTGAAAATGTTGATCAAGTATTTGTAAAATGTTGTACGACTACTTGAAATATGTTGAACAAGTATTTGAAAAAATGTTGATCATGTATATAAAATTTTTGAACAAGTACTTTTAAAATGTAGGACATGTATTTGAAAACTGTTGAACAAGTATTTAAAAAAATTTGAACAAGTATTTGAAAAAATGTTGATCATGTATATAAAAATGTTGAACAAGTATTTTTTAAAAGTAGAATACGCATTTTAAAAATGCTGAAAAAGTGTTTTAAAATTAATTAACAAGTATTTGAAAAAAATGTTGATCATTAATATAAAAATGTTGAACACGTATTTCTAAATGTACAATATGTATTTTAAAAATGCTGAACAAGTATTTAAAAAATATTGAACAAGTATTTGAAAATAATGTTGATCATGTATATAAAAATGTTGAACAAGTATTTTTTAAATGTAGAATACGCATTTTAAAAATGCTGAAAAAGTGTTTTAAAATTAATTAACAAGTATTTGAAAATAATGTTGATCATTAATATAAAAACGTTGAACACGTATTTTTAAATGTAGAATATGTATTTTAAAAATGCTGAACAAGTATTTAAAAAATATTGAACAAGTATTTGGAAATAATATTGATCATGTATATAAAAATGCTGAACAAGTATTTGAAAAAAGGTTGAACAAGTATTTGAAATTTTTTATCATACATATATAAATGTTGAGCAGGTATTTTAGAAATGTTGAACAAGTATTTGAAAAATATTGAACAAGTATTTGAAAAATGTTGAACAAGTATTTGAAAAAAATTGATCATGTATATAAGAATGTAGAATGAAAAACAAAAGGAAACAAAAAAACCCAAAAAATGAAAACCAAATAAGAAACAAAATAAATCAAAGGAAAAAGAAAATGAAAAAACTGAAGAAACAAATGAAAAAAGGCAGAGAAAAATAAAATAAAACAAGAAACAGAAAAAGGAGTAAACCCGACACTTTTTATCTATAAGTAGGGCGCGCCCTAGCATTTATCACGAACACTGTGCTAACCTAGTGGTTAGCTTCACTACTTCTCATGGAGAAGACCCAGGCTTCAATCCATGGGAGCTCTTATTGGAACCTTACTGTATCAAGCTGCGCGCCGACGCACAGGCTGGCCGAACTAGTGACGCACAGATCGTTGACGAGTGATGCTAGCCACTAGGGCGAATGACTACTAGTGAAAGACTTTAGCGCAATGGTTTTAAGAATTCACTAGAGCGGGATATTTAGTGCAGCCTAATCATTTACTGAACTGTATAGTTTTTTGAATTATTTGAACAAAATTTTGAAAACATGGAGAATTTTTAGAAACAATGTGAACGATATTTGAAATTTCTATACAATTGTTTTTTGAAAAGGGTGAAAAACAAAACACAAATGTTGAAACTATTTGTTTTTTTTCAAAAAACGCCAACATTTTAGTGCAGCCTAATCATTTACTGAACTATATAGTTTTTTGAATTATTTCAACAAATTTTTGAAAACATGGAGAATTTTTTGAAACAATGTGAACGAAATTTGAAATTTCTATACAATTGTTTTTTGAAAAGGGTGAAAATAAAAACACAAATGTTGAAACTATTTGTTTTTTTCAAAAAACGCCAATATTTTATTTGAAAGCGGACATTTTTTGAAATTCCTCAAAGATTTTTTGAATTACCGAACAAAATTTGAGAACTTTGTTTAATTTGTGAAATTATTAAGTTTCCGATCAATACAATTTTAGCATGAATAATAAACCTTTATCATGAATAAGGAAATATAAAATAACAACTTTATTATTGCCTCTAGGGCATATTTCCTTCAATATGTTCATGCCTAGTAGTAGCTTCACAATGGGTCTAGAAAGTGATTTTTTTGAAGCTTGACAATCACAATATTAGTCATACAAGCAATTCATGAATGATTAGTATAAGGAAGAGAACTTTCACATACAAATATATTATCTTGGACATCTTTTATGATTGCTAATACCCATTAATTATTTTCAAACTTGAGCAAATTAGTTGAAGATGGACAAGGAATACAACGTAATGAGTTATGGTTGTGTATATTTGCATAGAAGTTATATTCTTATGGATCCTCCAACATGTGGTGTGATAACCCACAAGTATAGGGGATCGCAACAGTTTTCGAGGGTAGAGTATTCAACCCAAATCTATTGATTCGACACAAGGGGACCCAAAGAATATTCTCAAGTATTAGCAGTTGAGTTGTCAATTCAATCACACCTGAAAGACTTAATATCTACAACAAAGTATTTAGTAGCAAAGTAGTATGGAAGTAACGGTAATGGTGGCAAAAGTAACAATAGCAGTTTTTGTAGAAATCGTAAAAGTGGCAACAGAAAAGTAACTAAGCAAATATCAATATGTGAAAAGCTCATAGGCAATGGATCAATGATGGATAATTATGTTAGATGCGATTCCTCATGCAATAGTTATAACATGGGGTTACACAGAACTAGCTCTAGTTCATCAATGTAATGTAGGCATGTATTCTGAATATAGTCATACATGCTTATGGAAAAGAACTTGCATGACATCTTTTATCCCACCCTCCCGTGGCAGCGGGGTCCTATTGAAAACTAAGGGATATTAAGGCCTCCTTTTAATAGAGTACCGGACCAAAGCATTAACACTTAGTGAATACATGAACTCCTCAAACTACGGTCATCACCGGGAGTGGTCCCGATTATTGTCACTTCGGGGTTGCCGGATCATAACACATAGTAGGTGACTATTGACTTGCAAGATAGGATCAAGAACTCACATATATTCATGAAAACATAATAGGTTCAGATCTGAAATCATGTCACTCGGACCCTAGTGACAAGCATTAAGCACAGCAAAGTCATAGCAACATCAATCTTAGAACATAATGGATACTAGGAATCAAACCCTAACAAAACTAACTTGATTACATGGTAAATCTCATCCAACCCATCACCGTCCAGCAAGCCTACGATGGAATTACTCACGCACAGCGGTGAGCATCATGAAATTGGTGACAGAGGATGGTTGATGATGACGATGGCGATGGATTCCCCTCTCCGGAGCCCCGAACGGACTCCAGATCAGCCCTCCCGAGGAAGATTAGGGTTTGGCGGCGGCTCCGTATCATAAAACGCGATGAATCCTTCTCTTTGATTTTTTCCTCCCTGAAATTGAATATATGGAGTTGGAGTTGAGGTCGGTGGAGTCCCAGGGGACCCACGAGGCAGGGGGCGCGCCCGGGGGGGGGGCGCCCTGCACCCTTGTGGACAAGGTGTGGGCCCCCTGATACTGATTCTTTCGCCAGTATTTTTCATTAATTCCAAAACGTGTCTCCGTGGATTTTCATGTCATTCTGAGAACTTTTTTTCTACACAAAAATAACACCATGGCAGTTCTGCTGAAAACAATGTCAGTCTGGGTTAGTTCCATTCAAATCATGCAAGTTAGAGTCCAAAACAAGGGCAAAAGTGTTTGGAAAAGTAGATACATTGGAGACGTATCAACTCCCCCAAGCTTAAACAATTGCTTGTCCTCAAGCAATTCAGTTGGCAAACTGAAAGTGATAAAGAAAAACTTTTACAAACTCCGTTTGATCTTGTTGTTGCAAATATGTAAAGCCAACATTCAAGTTTTCAGCAAAGATTATGAACTAACCATATTCACAATAACATCTAGGTCTCACGTTTACTCATATCAATGGCATAATCAACTAGCGAGCAATAATAATAAATCTCGGATGTCAACACTTTCTCAAAGCAATCATAACATGATATAACAAGATGGTATCTCGCTAGCCCTTTCTGAGACCGCAAAACATAAATGCAGAGCACCCCTGAAGATCAAGGACTGACTAGACATTGTAATTCATGGTAAAAGAGATCCAAGCACATTCATACTCAATATAAATTAATAGCAATGCATGCGAATGACAGCGGTGCTCTCCAACTGGTGCTTTTTAATAAGAGGATGATGACTCAACATAGAAGTAAATAGATAGGCCCTTCACAGACGGAAGAAGGGATTTGCAGAGGTGCCAGAGCTTGAGTTTTGAAATAGAGATAAATAATATTTTAAGTGGCATACTTTAATTATCTACATAACAACCAAGAGATCTCGATATCTTCCATGCTACACACATTATAGGCGGTTCCCAAACAGAACGGTAAAATTTATACTCCCCCAACACCAACAAACATCAATCCATGGCTTGTCCGAAACAACGGATGCCATCCAACTAACAACAATCCTGGAGGAGTTTTGTTTGCAATTATTTTGATTTGATTTGAGCATGGGACTGGGCATCTCGGTTACTGGCCATTTTCTCGTGAATGATGAGCAGAGTCCACTCATCGTGAGAATAACCCACCTAGCATGGAAGATATAGATAGCCCTAGTTAATACATGAGCTATTTGAGCATACAAAACAGAATTTCATTTGAAGGTTTCACTACAAAAAATACACTTCCGTGATAATACGTGTTTGTCAAAGTAGGTCACGTTTTCTGTCATGCATGTACATCCATGACAAATTTATGACAGAATCAAGATAGTCATACCTGTGCTGCCATAGAAGTGTTCCATGACATTACCAAAATTATCATCACGGAAGTGTCCACTTCCATGAAGATAAATCGCGCGTCACA